TCTGGGCCTGGGCGCTGTCCCTCAGCTCTTCAGCTCAAGGCTAGCGCTCTACCACTTGAGCCACAGCGCCACTTCCGGCTTTTTTCTTATGTGGTGCTGAGGAATCGAACCCAGGGCCTCAGGCATGCAAGGCAAGCGCTCTACCACTGAGCCACCTTCCCAGCCCCTTCAGCTTCCTCTTTACACCCAAGCCCAGAGCCCTTCATCTTTCACCCCGTCTTCCTCAGCCACAAACTGTGAGAGGACAGAGAGGAGAGAAAGGAGAAAATCCTTAAGAACTACTACCAAGTATAAAGATCAGATGATTCCATATATTTTTCATAAATTGGAACTAAGTATTCTTTATATCACAGAGTTGTCTACTTTTGCTCCCTTCAAGTCACTTGGTGCTACAGCTCTCATTTCTGTCCTGTCTGTACCATGAACTTAACTCCTGTTTGTCTTCCGCTCTGCTCGCAGCACCAGCAGGCTGCTCATTGAGCTAGACTTAAGAATCTGCTTCAGGGTAAAATATAACGGAGAGTTTAGGTGTAGTTATCTGCCCAGTTATAGCATGATTTATTTGAAACATCCTTCCTTTGGTATTCAATTTAAACATTTAACTGAAAAGAAAGTGGGGGGGGGGGGGTGGAGGGGGAAGGAGGAGGAGAGAGGAGGAGAAGCAGCAGCTAAAGAGACATGGAGAGAGGCCCAGCTCCTGGTTGTTTCTAATGGTAGTCATCTTTTCCCTGGGTTTAGGGAAACCAGGAGTTGAGGGAGGTACTTTGAGATACTTATCTCCCTAACTTGATTAATGGCTTCTTATGAATCTTATCTTTCCTGTGCTAGAGAAGCCTATATTATACAATCAGTAGCTAATTAATTGATCAACTAAAGAGATATAACAGCTTTTGGCATCAATTTATATTGGAATCATGAAGCATGTATGCTATTCATCCTAGAGTGTATTTTACAGAGGAGAGGAGGAGAAAAAAAAAGTCTAATTACTTTTTATCAATCCTGGGGCTTGAACTCAGCACCTGGGCTCCATCCCTGAGCATTTTTACTCAAGGCTAGCACTCTACCACTTTGAGCCATAGCACCACTTCCAGTTTTCTGGTGGTTAATTGAAGTTAAGAGTCTTAGAGTCTTTCCTGCCTAAGCTGGCTTTGAACTTCAGTCCTTAGGTCTCAGCCTTCTGTGTAGCTAGGATTTCAGGTGTGAGCCACTGGCACCCAGGTAGAATATTTTCTTTTAAACTTAATGCCATGGGTAGCATTCAACACTTCATGCTTGGGGGCTTAGGGTCTCTGAAATGGAAGATATCACTTCCAATTGAGCACTTGATATAATGTGCATTTTTCTAGGACCAGAGAGAGAATATAAAATAGTAATGGAGTGGTTTATCCTTAAAGCCTACAGTGAGATCATCAGTTATTCACTCAACACATATTTATTAACCTTCCATTCTGTACAAGGCACTGTTAGCCCTGGACACATGAGTAAAACCAAATAGACCTAAGTGCTGGCCTCACAAAGGTAAACGTGCTAGAAATATAATGATAAGTAAATAGAGGTAGTCACTCCAGTAGATTCTTACTGTGGAGAGAAAGCAGAATAAAGGGAAAAGAATTGTGTTAGAGGAATTGTGGGGAGCCTGCAGTTTTAACTGGGGGGGGTGTGAACTTGAGTATAGAGACCTATGGAGAAGTGGCATTCTAGGTCTCACTGCTGCCAGTGCCCTGCCTTGCTAGGAGGAGAATCACTCTAGACCTAATAGTATGAATCCTAAATTCCAGGCTGGGATGACATGGTAGGTTCCTCTCAAGATAATGCCTTCAGACTCTTGACTGTTCCAAAAGAGATGGCAGAGAGACCCTCCCCAGCACACACTCTACCTCACCATCTGTTCTAGCTACTTAGCTAGGATTTTCAATCCATTTTTTATGGTTCAAGAGGAAATAGAGACTAAGAGGTTAAATAATCTATCCCAAAACACACAGCTGTGAGTGATGGAACTTTTTCTACTGCACCAAGCCACTGGTCCATCAGGGGACTTGCCTCTTCCACCGCTTTCTGCAGCTGTCTCCTGCCTAGGGCGTGGTATGTACTGATCTAGACCAAGCCAGTGGTTAACAGGCACATTCTTCCTCGGGAGGCTAACTCTCAGTCCTGGTACAGCATCAGTGTGACTAGTTTCTCCCAGGCCACAAGAAAGGGCATCCTGCAGGCAGCTGCCCGGATCTTCTTTCTCTCCATCACAGTTTTTCCTTCTGAGGAACCTTCTTTGGTTTCCTGTTGCTTTTTATATTAAATCTCTTTTCTTAGTTTAGCATTCCAGGTCTTTTTCATTGGCTGCCATCTCACATCTCCAGAGAGCCATCATTTTCACCCCTTGGTGCTCTGGCTCAGCTGCTTCTACTGCCCACATGGGATTTAGTACAGGGAAGCTGACCATGCCAGCACCTCCTCTTTACCAGTGGCTCTCAAGTACTACACAACTCTTCCTAGCTAAGAAACGCCATATACTGGCATCCCACAGCATATATTACTTGGTGTTTGCCAGCATCTTACTTAGGTGTGGTCCCTAAATATTTATTTGTGAATTTTCCTAGCTAAATTGTAAGGAGGGTACAAACAAACTCTCACAATTCCCTAAGTACCTAAAAGAGTAAATTCTTATTAATGCATCATTTGACTGGCGTCAATTTCATCTTTTACTTGCTGGGCTTACAATTGTTAATATTCTGACTTTTTTTTCAGTCATTGACAAAAAAACATCAAATTCTAATAATCAGAAATGAAGTTTAAGGCCCAGAACACACAACAGTTTTGAATTGCACTCTTAAACCCACTTCTTAATCCATTTCAGAGTTTCCAATTGTTCCCAGTTAATTCTTCTTACTGAGGGTGTATTACACTTGCTGGGCGTTGAATGATACAGAAAGAATGGCCTTTCTTTCCTGCATAACTGACTTTACTTTTGTTCATAGGTTGAAACCAGCCCTTCCATTTCACTGCAGTATTAGATCAGTGGCATTTTTATTTAGGGGGGAAAGAAAGCTTTCTTCCACATGAACTTTTGTTACAAATCAGTTTATTAGAGCCAATCAATGGGCAAGACCTATGAAAGAGTGTGGATTATCTGGTTAGTCCTTTGTGTGGCAAAAGGCTTAGATGCTGCTTAGTACTTGGTTTATTCTTCATGGTGTAAAGAAGTGGTTTTTTGAAGGATCAACACCTTACTGGGCCCTGCCTTTTTCATGGTAATGTTTTCACCTGAGTTGCTTCTTATGGCACTAAGAATTAGTTAACTAATACTTATTTAACCTTGGAACAATGTTTATCATAATCCGATTGGCAGATAGTCATTTTATTTAGGCCTTTTCTTTATAGACTCAGGACTAGCAAAGCTCAGTAGAGTATGTTAGGAGCTACTTCCCCTCCCCCAAATAGGTTATCACTCTGCATGCTTGCTTGCTTTCCACCAAGGGTCATGTCTGGGCACTGTGGATCTAGGACTAATAGCCATACATTGACAAGTTGGATTTCCCTTCTCAGGTTGATTTCCACTCTTCTTTCTTAATGCTGCATGCATTCCCATTTCATTCTGCTGGTGGCTCTTCCTTTCAAATATTCCCCAGTGTGATTTGTTACATTTGTATTCAGATGTGTTTTTTCATGAGAAAGCTTCCATGTGAGTATTACCACTAATTAATAGACAAAAGTGACCCAGCACAATTTAATTATTTGGCTAATGTTTTTCAGTGTTTTTGTAAAGCTGATGCTGTACAAGTCAAGGCCAGAACCCGCCTTGGTCATGACCTCTGTGCACTGTTTGCAGTCTTGTTAAACAAGAAGAAAAGCAAAACATAAATTAGCATCTCTATTATAAGTTGCTCCACATTTCCCAATCTTTCAACACTAAATAACTATAGTCTCTTACTGTGAGAGAAAGTTTCATGAGGAAAATGGCAGTGGTTTGAAAGTCCCACTTTTTGTAGTGAGCAAGAAGGGCCAACCTTGTCCCCTTTGAGGGAGGAACAAGAAGGAGGAATTTGAGTTATGGACTATGAGACATTAAAAACATAAGGAGAAAAGAAGTAACTACCCTTAATTGTGAACCAAGAAACCATGACAGGAAGATCACTGAAGTTAGTAGTTTGGGGTCAGCCTGGGGAACATAGCCAAAGGTGGTCTCAATAATAATAGTGATAATGATAATGTGCTAGTGTGTGTGGCCTTTGGAATCTATTAGCCTTAATGATATGTTCCCAAGTTTACCATAGCAATTTAGTGTTTTAAAAAAAAGATGCTTTTGCTAAAAATAAAAATGAAACACTAAAATACTGCATTGAGACACTTATTTGAAACACTTAGCTTGCGCCTTTCACAATTAGGCATTACGTGTCTCCCTTCTAGAGAGTATATTAAGCTGGCAAGACAGACTTTGTATTCATTCATTGAAATTTTTCCCAGTTCCCACCAAACATGGTTCATTCTGGCTCTAAGGAATTAATTACAGATACAAACTTGATGTCTTTCTGTTTGGTTTGTATTTGCTCCTGACTTACTAATCTGTTATTCACTATTGTGAATGAAGGAACTGTTTAATGTTGTCACTTCCTGAATCATGTCAATTTGTGTGTGTGTGTGTGTGTGTGTGTGTGTATACTAGAGCTTGAACTCAGGGCTTGGGTACTGTCCCTTAGCTTTTTTGCTCAAGGCTTCATTTCTGACTTTTTGATGGTTAATTGGAAATAAAAGTCTTTCTACTTGGACTTTCTTGCTCTGACTCAATTTGAACCTTGATCCTCAGATCCTAGCCTCCTAAGTAGCTAAGATTACAAGCGTGAGCCACCTGCACCTGCACCTGAACCTTTTTTAGATTTTTAAGAGGAACATCCTGATCTTTATCATTTGTATTTATGGAATTAAATAAATGGATTTTGCACATTTTATTCAGGCTCTCTCTACGTCATCTTTTTCTAAGAGTTTTAACACCTTTTCTCCCTGCTCAGGGCCGCAAGCTCCTTATCATTGGAACCACTAGCCGTAAAGATGTCCTTCAGGAAATGGAAATGCTTAATGCTTTCAGCACCACCATCCATGTGCCCAACATTGCTACAGGAGAACAGCTGCTGGAAGCTTTAGAGGTGAGAATTAATCAACGGATTGCACACTGTTTATCAAAAAGGAGTTGAGTTGGAGATGATGTTGAAGGGTGCCAGTTGTTGCACCTAAACATGAGACCCTGGGATATTTTATCTCCAGTTGTCTTCAAGAAATAGAAGATGAGGGGCTAGGTGGGTGGCTCAGTGGTAGAGCGCTTGCCTTGCATGCCTGAGGCCCTGGGTTCGATTCCTCAGCACCACATAAGCAAAAAGAAAAAAGCCAGAAGTGGCTCTGTGGCTCAAGTGGTAGAGCACTAGCCTTGAGCTGAAGAGCTGAGGGACAGAGCCCAGGCCCAGAGATCAAGCCCCACGACCGGAACCAAAAGAAAAAAAAAAGAAATAGAAGATGAATACACGGGACAGTGAATTTGCTTCCCATTCCTGGGTGTAGACAGTAAGCAGACTGCCAGGAATGAATCACTCCAGGCCTAGCATGTGTGTGATTGTCATAGTCTCCATGGGCTGGGAATTGGGGTGGGTGGAGGGGCTAGGTAGGGTGTAAGGTAATCAGCATGGAGAAAATCAGTTATTTATAGTTGCTGTCAGCACATTTCCTTTTACTTAATAAACTGGAACAATGATTAAAGCCTTAGAAACTTCAAAAAAAGCTACAAAAACAAAAGGAACTTTTACTAACAAGTCTATAATGTGGATATGTTTTTTTTAATGTATGAGGATGCAAAGATTTTTTTTTTAAATATATTCTTCAAATTTGATAATCAAGTACACAAATGACTTACTAAAATCTGTTGGAAAATGTGATCTAATGAGGTGTTCAGCATGGTGGAGTCAGACCATTGAAAATCCTCATGCCCTGTAAGTTGGTGTATCCTCCCGACAATAGAAGTTATCCACATGATAAATGTTTCATGTTACCTGTCTGAGCAGCTTTTGTAGTAGGGTTGGGCAAGAGAATTAAATTTAGTTTGCTTTGACATATACAGATTGTTTCCAGAAAGGAATGATAAAAATGTTTTACTTGTGTTTATTTTGAAGTGGGGCTGCTTTTCCCCCAAAAAAAATATATCTGCAAATTATAATGGAGACCCCTAGGAAAACAGGGTTAAAGTACCATATTTCTTTTTTGTGATTAGATCTAATGGCTTTAGGAAGGTCAGAGTACATTTTAAAATAGGAGGGTATTAGCTTAACCCAGATAGATAGTCCTGACCAATGTTCTTTTAAGGGTGAATGAGAGAATTAGCTAATGTGGCTGATGTACTTACTGAAAAAGTGCTTTTATTATTGTTGATTGTTTTTGTAGCTTTTGGGCAACTTCAAGGATAAGGAACGGACCACGATTGCACAGCAAGTCAAAGGGAAGCAAGTCTGGATAGGAATCAAGAAGTTACTAATGTTGATTGAGATGTCCCTCCAGGTAAGGTACTTCCCTTTCTGCATGATTCAAAGAAAGATCCTTCATGCAGTATCAAGGATTTTAATATTGTCTTTGCTAACTCGTTTGTTAACAAACAGCTTACAATACTTTCTCACTTCTTATACTCAAAACTAGAAGACAGGATTATAACATTACTTTTAATGTTGCTTGTTCTTGGAACTAGAAAGGACTTCAATGACCAGTGTTGTTTTGTGCCCTGGTTTTAGAAATGTGTGCTGTATCCCACAGGTTTTTGGTGAATGGGCCAAGATTACCTTTCCAGTTAGTGATAGATAAGGGGCAGTGTTGTCAGTAACTGCACATACACCAAAGGTGATCTAGGAGACTGCTGTCCTTTGAGTGGGATTGGACTCATCCTCTATGTATGGTCTCCTGGCTTTTCTCCTATAGGTAGGAGTAAAACATCCAAAAGTCTATTCTGCTGCTTAAGCAGAGCCATAGGAAACTTCTTTGGGACTTTCTCAAGTCTACTGACAACTTCCCTTCCCTCTTTATTTTTCTTGTCAGTTATGGGGCTTGAATTCAGGGCCTGGACACTGTCCTTGAGGTTTTTCCGTTCAAGACTAACACTATTCCACTTTGAGCCACAGCTCCACTTCCAGTTTTCTGGTGGTTAATTGGAGATAAGAATCTCATGGACTTTTCTGCCCAGGTGTGCTTTGAACCACAATTCTCATGTCTCAGTCTCCTGAGTAGCCAGGATTACAGGCATGAGACAGTTGCACCCAGCTTTTTTTTTTTTTTTTTTTTTTTTGGTGCTGGTACTAAGACTTGAATGCAGGGGGCCTGGGTGCTCTCACTTAGCTTTTTCACTCAGGGCTTTTGCTTTACTACTTGAGCCATAGTTCCACTTCTGGCCTTTTGGTAATTAATTGGAGATAAGAGTGTCTCGGACTTTCCTGCATGGGCAGGCTTTGAATCGCTATCCTCAAATCTCAGCCCTCCTGAGCAGCTAGGATTACAGGTGTGAGCCACCAGCACCAGGCCCCTCCCTCTTTATGGGCAGGCCTCCATATGCTTATGCTATTTTCTGGTCTTCATCTAACATACCACACAAGATCCATGTATGTACCAAACTGAGTGCAACATTCTTGGCTCTCACCTGCTTTTCAGAACCTCTAGAGCAGAGCTAGACTCACATAGTAGTCACTTAGCAAACTTTTATTGAATGAATGAACAAATCAGTGAATGATCAAATCCATCCCCAGTCCTGGGCAGATGGACTGGTGCTATTCTAAGCATTGTTTCTTGCTGAGCAGCTCTGTCCTTCTACCAGTGTGAGCACAGGGTGCTGGACAAGGTGAGGCTTCACAGAGGCTGCTGAACCAATAAATTAGAAATAGAATAAATGCTTTTTAATCCATCCTGGCAAACTTAGTTTAAAATTGTTGTGGTTTTTAGAAACTGAAAGTTTGGTCTACTGAACTTTGCCAATGGACTGTTTTTAAGTCAATTTATTTATTTTCCATTATGAGCAATAAATTAGAGTCACAGACTAAGTTCTTTGCTTAGGCTTATTCCTGGTAAAGGTGTGCATACAGGTGTATTGGCTCCTTTCTTGAAAAAAGATAAATCTGTCAGAAAGTCAGCTCCACGCTTCTTTTTTTAGCTTCAGCACATTTTTTAAAAAAAATAATTGCACAGAAGAAACTATGTGGGTTTTTCTCCCCAACTGCCTTCCCTTCCTCTTCTTTGATGCCTGCAGGTCAGTGATCAAGTTAATGCTTCTTACGCATGTGGGGTAGAAAGTGAGAGTGGGGTACTCGGGCCTAATCTTCAGCGACTGACACTTCATAGGCGTCCAAGTTTGAACCCCTTCATGTCAAATGGATTCTGTGCAGCTGAATGACTTCTCTTTAGATCTGCCTTAGGAGACTGCCCGAGTAGAGAGGCATGTAGGTGAGCAGAATGTAAGTCATGTTCCCTCTGCTCACCATACACAATTCTGTTAAAACTTGCACAGTGCAGAGGATCTGCTCTGACTGGATGTCACCTGAGGGAATAAAGTCATTTATCTAGATTACTTTTTTCCTCCCTTTCTCTTGACTTTTAATTCCATAGCTACAGGCAAGTCAGTAAGTCGTTGCTCACACATATTAAATATATTTAATGGGCAAAGACCTGCAAGTACTGACTACAACTGAGCTCCAGCCAGTTCCATTTTTTTTTAAAATAACTTGACAATTGATTCATATGTAATTCTATTCCCAAAGAGGAAAAATGTTTCTTTTGTTAGCTATTCACACTTTTTCTTAGTCCTTTGTAGTCTGACCTCTTAACTTTGATACATTTGAAACTTCTGTTCTGTATTTTGCTGGGGCAGAAGGGAAGAAACCTTACCAAAAAAAAACAAAAAACAAAAACACACACACACACACACCAAAAAACCCCAGGGGCTGGAGGGGGATCTAGTTGCACCCTGGCCCAGCTGCACAGAGTACTTGAAAGCCACTCCTGGAGGGCAGGGAGTTCCCTCTCCCCACAGACTTCTGCCCTGCAACATGTTTTCAAAGTGAGGTGTGTTTCTTAGAGTAAAAGTCCATCTAAAGGAATTAAACGTCTTTTTAATGATCACTTTCTATATAACTTCACATCTCTAGTGGACCAATAAAAATAAAGTCTGTTTTAACAAATTAGCATAAATTGAATATAAAATGAAAACTGGGTGAGAAGATGGATAATAACAACCTGGACAGAGGCCGAGTCTGTCCAGGCACAGTGGCGCTCTTCATTGTTCACTTTTCCATTTAGTCCCAACAAGAAACTGTGTAGGGGACAGAGGCTTAGCAAAATCAGGTCCACTGACTATAGTGGTCATTGGCTACCTTTTTTTTTTTTTTTTTTGGTTGGTCACGGGGCTTGAAATCTGGGTCAGGGTGCTGTCCCTCAGCCCTTCAGCTCAAGGCTAGCACTCTGACACTTAAGTCACTTCCAGTTTTCTGGTGGTTTATTGTAGAGAAGAGTCTCATGGACTTTTCTGCCCCCGCTGGCTTTGAACCACTATCCTCAGATCTCAGCCTCCTGAGTAGCTAGGATTACAGGCATGAGCCACCGATGCCCAGATATTGGCTACATTTTAATCATTTGATCATTTCCCAATTTGGTTTCTTCTGATTTGGTCTTACCTTTTTTTTTTTTTTTCCTGGTCCTAGGGCTTGAACTCAGGTCCTAGGTGTTGTCTCTGAGTTTTTGTGCTCAGGGCTAGCCTCCAACCACTTGAGCCACAGCTCCACTTCTGGCTCTTTTGGTAGTTTATTGGAGATGAGTCTCACAGACTTTCTTGCCAGGGCTGGCTTTAAACTATGCTACTTAGATCTCAGCCTCCTGAGTAGTGAGGATTGTAGTCATGAGCCACTGGTGCCCAGCTGGTCTTATTTTTTTACTTTTTCTTTTTTTCTCTAGTGCGCATGCGCGTGTGCACGTGTGCGTGTGTGTGTGTGTGTGTGTGTGTGTGTGTGTGTGTGTGTGTGTGTGTGTGTGTGTGTGTGTGTGTGTGTGTGTGTGTGTGTGTGTGTGTGTGTGTGTGTGTGTGTGTGTGTGTGTGTGTGTGTCCGTCCCATTCTGGGGTTTGAACTCAGGGCCAGAAATCTTTCCCTTAGCTTTTTCACTCAAGGCTGATTACCACTTGAGCCACAACTCCACTTCTGGCTTTTTGGTAGTTAGAGATAAGAATCTCATAGACTTCAAATTGATCCTTACATCTTAGCCTCCTGAGTAGCTAGTATTGTAGGAATGAGCCATCAACAATCCAGCTGGATTCATTTTTTTTTCACACTTTAATTTAATTTTTTTGTGTGAACATACTGTACAGAGAGGTTACAATTATATGGGCAGGATAATGCGTACATTTCTTATCAAGCATTGCAGCCTCCTCCTTTGTTTACCCTTCACATCCCTTCCCAGCCTCCCCCCCACCCCCCCCATGGACTAATTTTTAAACCTTAAGTGAATTGGATGTCATTTGAACTCCTATGAGTGACCTCCAGCCTGGTGTCCCTTTGCTGCCTTGCAGCTGAGGGAGCTCTTGACCCAAATGGCTGTGAATGGCCACTGGGTCAGGTCATTTGAACCAACTGCACAGTGATTTGCCATAATGAGAAACCTCATTGGTCTCTCTTAAATGGCATTCTGCTGTGCCCTATATCAGAGCACTGATCAGGGAGCAGAAACAGTGTCCTATGCAGCAAAGTGTTGCTGGAAGTAAGAAACGGTGGGTGCAGAGTGGCAGAAGTTACCATTAACCCCACTTCTTCATTTCTTCTGGTGTATGTAGATGGATCCCGAATACCGAGTGAGGAAATTCCTGGCCCTCTTAAGAGAAGAAGGAGCGTAAGTACACAGCACTCACCAACTATGTGGACCCCCCACTGATCCCCGTGCCTAAGTATTACATACACTGCATATGAATTTGATGGTTTCTTTCTTAGATAACTGTTTCCATTTATTAGATTCTTCCCTGTGTTGTAGGTCTGACAGACCAAGCAAGGAAGTTGGTTGTTCTGTTGGTTTGCTCTCCTTGCCCTGCTTCGCAAAACTTCCTTGTCAAAATGCAGGACAAACTTGATGGTACATATTTATTGGAACCTGCTTTTAACTGCATGGAGCTAATGACCATTTTCTTTTGTCAAGTGCCCATTGGATAGCAAGTGCATAGTGTGGAAAATGTAGAGACTATCAAAAAGCTTTAAGTGATTCCTGATGAATGTCTTTTGCAGATGCTCATGGTTTTGTGTGTGTATTTGGGCATTTTCTTTTGCAGTAGCCCCCTTGACTTTGATTGAAAATGGACTGTTTACAACACAGTGACCAACAGGAAGTGACCAAGGTGAAGATTGCCTGGGATCTTCATTCATCATGATACTAGACTACACAAAATGTTCTCCATCTTCAGCGTGTGCTCGCTCTGCATGATTAGTGCAATAAATTGCCCTTCCTCGTGCTACTAGAGATACCGTCATATTTGTGGAAGGTGTGAACTTGTTTTAGAATGAATGCTATGCTGTCCTTTCCATGCAAGCTGGTTCCTTCTTCCTCATTGATATATCGGAGACGCTCTATCTGTGCACCTCTTCCAGCCCCCAAAGCTCTCAGTAAGTGGAATGAATGCTGCAAAGCAACCCTCGCATTGCCTGTCAGAAAGTAGACTTTGCCTATGGAAACCAAGAGCAGAGAGTAGAGGTACAGATTCCAAGGGGCTCTTACAGCTTCTCTTGCGAACACTAGAGGTAATCAGCTATTTGGTTAAAGATTCTGTCACACAACGGGTATTATCTCTGCCTGAAGAAATTAGGCATTTGAATTTCTAAAACACTGTTCTCAATCATTCTCAGAGACATTTCCAAGTTGCAATCAGGAGATCTTTCTTAACAGAACATTCTATTATTACTGTGTTAGCTGTGATGTCCCCTGAATGTAATTAATTTGCCTGTGGTAAGAAATATGCTCATCATTACCACCTGATTGATGTTAAGAACTTATGAAAGATGTGTGTGGAAATACGTACACCTCTAAACAGAAAGGAGCTATTAAACTAACATAATTTACAGACCTCTCAGCACTAATTAGTGTCCAACTCTAAGTGGGTCAGTTCCTTAGGATAATATTAAAGGCTTACTCATATCACTTTTCCTTTTTTCTTTAGCCTAATGACTTACTTAGAATTTATCTTTCCTGTATTTTCAGTGCTCTACCATCTAGTATATAAACACTATTCTACAGAAACATGACCATTCCTGGCCCTCCCCCAGTCTTTGACTGCCCATTCCTGTGTTTTGCACCATCCCCTGTCATCCACACACTTCTTTCAACAGCAGAAAGAGAATCTATCATGTCCTTCTGAGGGGAGGGGGGGGTGTTCTTCTTGCTGAGTTAGAAAGAAGTTAATTAGGTCATCATCCGTGGTGAAGACTTGTGGAGCATGTCACTCTCCCCTCTGCTGCTTAAACAACCTTCAGAACCATCCTGGACACCACCACCACCCACCGCCTGAGGCTGTTGCTGCAATGGCTCTTAGGTGTGGCTCTGTGGCTGTCCCCACAGAAGAAGGCGAATCATTTCTAAATCCTGCCGTCTGTATATTTTTGTTGTGAGTTTTCCCTGGCTTATTTGTGGCTTTTGAAACAGTGGCTTATATTGTGAAAATCTGTGATTGCTGGTGGCCAGTATCCTGGATCCCATTTCTGTCCTGCCTCTCTCGGGCTCCCCTAAGCAGCACACTTTGTATTAACTTATGTCTCTTGTTCATTGAGGTTAATGTCTTTGTGTTTGGTCCAAAACTATATTGAACAAAATAAATATTATATTGTTTAATGCAAATTGAAGGAATGCAATAAAGAGTAAATACAAACACCTGAAAATATTCTGTGGTTAAGTATTTTGTACAAAACAACTTAGATCACTGATACAAGCATGTGACAAAGAAGGAGCCCAGAAGAAAACCAACTTAGAGAATGGATGGTTTTTATTTTATTTTGTGCTGTCCCTGAACTTTTTCCACTCAAGGCTGGCATTCTACCACTTTAAGCCACAGCACCACTTCCAGTTTTTGACTGGTTAATTGGAGGTAAGAGTCTCACGGGGTCTTTCCTGCCTGGGCTGGCCTTGAACCCGGATCATCAGATCTCCACCTCTTGAGTAGGTAGGATTACAGGCATGAGCCATTAGTACCTGGCTTTATTTTAAAATCTCATTTTAAAAATGTAGTTACTTTAAGTGTAAAACAGTTCATTAATATATCAAAATGCTAATATAGAACTATCTTTGTACTTAGGTTTGATACTTACCTTATTAAAAAAACAGAGTTAGGGAAGCTGTAAACTAGGTTAGTAGACAGGAAGTTGTTTCTCAGAATTACTCCTTACTGTTAAATGTATAAACCCAGAGCCTCTAGCACCCTCAGATTTCTTCATATGATTTATTTGGGGTCCTTCAGAATATCAGAGCTCTGAGCCACAATCCTACTATGGCTTTGATAGGAACGAGAGCCCATGGGCTGGGAATGTGACTCTGGAAGAGTGCTTGCCTTGGATGCATGAAGCCCTGGGTTCAATTCCTTAGCACCACATAAACTGAAAAGGCTGGAAGTGGTGCTATGGCTCAAGTGGTAGAGTGCTAGCCTTGAGCTGAAGAGCTGAGGGACAGTGCACAGGCCCAGAGTTCAAGCCCCTTAACTGACAAAAAAAAAAAAAGCCCCCAAACTAGTCATAGGCTCAGGCAGCATATCTGGGGAAGAGGCCATTTTCAAAAGCTTCCCTATAGCAGAGTTGGCTCCCAAGGAGTCCAGGAGGATGCTGAGACCAGTCTGGCTCCTGCATTACCTTGGAAAGGTGGACTTCAGGGCCTCTTCCACATGCTTCAGAGGTAAGGTGGGTAGCAGAGCAGACAAAATCACAAGGCATGGCCTGGTGCTAGAGTACTAGGAACTGTAGAGTTTGTCAACCAGCTGTTGTTCTATCAGATGTCATTAAAATCTCAACAAGGTTATTTTACCCTTACTAAACTTTTGTATGTTCATTGAGACACCTTTTTTTTTTAATGTAACAAAAAATTTGTGTAATTGTAGTCATATCTGAGATACATTTTGCTTTAAGGCTATCTTTTCATAGCCTAAAAATTACAGTGTGTTAACAGCCTTCCCTTTAAGTTCCAGCTCCACATCACAAAATTATGGAGTAGATTCAAATGTGTATAATAATCAAGGCTTCATCAACAGACTTGCTGAGGCGTTGAGTCAGCCATAAACAGCCACCAGCCCAGACACAGAAGGCAAAGGCAGGATCTCGTTTTCCTTGCCCGGCAACAGCCTCTTCAAAAAAGTGACTGAGCAAGGTGTGTTTGAGAGTTCAAGAAACTATGTCAATTTCAGAAGTTATTGCTAAATGATGTAGTTTCTCATCAGTTGGCAAGCTGTGCTGAGACTGGATCCCAGAGATGAGCCCACGAGGGTGTGTGTGCCTTGTGGACACTGTGGTGTTAAGATGCAGAGATAGCGCGTGTGATTGGCAAGCATCCCAAGAAGGTAAAGGCAGAATTTGCAAGGACTCATGGCTGACATTTTCCCAGCACACAGCCACCACACAGTGTATGGTCTGACCATTTTGGAATAGGATGACTAGTTGAGATAACCACCTCCTAGAATGTTCTATTAAGCTAGGAGAAGTGATGGCAATATAGTGGCCATACTTTTGTGTAGACATGTCCATACCCCCTTTCACTTTCCCCCACTTTTTCCTAACCTTCTTTCCATGTGCCTGAAACTTTTTGAACTCACACCACCTTCCTCTCTCTTCATAAAATTATATTGCTTTGACAGATATCATTACAGTGATTCTAATTTCTTGGGGATTTTAAAACGTCCTCTTGCTTTTAGCTATATATCTTTTTCTACATATAATATATATAGCGATATATATATATATATATATATATATATATATATCCATGCTTATAGGGTCAAGCACAGCTATAAACTATTCTCTAATCATAGGATAAAATGATCATAGAATTCCACATGACTTTGGTAAATAGGAATAGAGATAATTTAAATATTTGGTGATTTTATAGGCTAGAAACCAACAAGAAGTGCCCTGAATGCTAGAATAGAGTTTAGCTTTACATAAAAGTAAAAGATGACCAATACCAAAAGATGTGAAGGTCTGCTCCTATTGATCCCATTCCTCACAGAGCTGAAACGCGCTTTTGTGGTTGGAGATTTTTAGGGGCTAAAGAAACTCATCAAAAGTAAATTTGTTAACGTTGATTATACATTCCTCATCTAAGAGGTTTAAAAACAAGTTAGGCCGCTTTGTTTTCTTGTGTTTTTGTTTTTCTGCGAAGTAAGTTACAGAAGTAGGTCAGGAGAAAGAAAAAGGGAGGGAAGGTGGGAGTGAAAACAAGAAGAGAGGAGAGAACAGGAAAGAATGGAGAAAGGAAGAGAAAAGGAGAGAGAAAGAAAACGAGAGATTTTAATGCTTGTCTGGAGTAATGTACCAAATAAATTGAAGGTGTTATTTTCCAGTAAATCCAAGAACTATAGGACTGTGTGTTGTCATACCATCATTGAGAAGGTAAACAGTGGAGCTTCAAGTGAATCTTGCTGAAACACCAAGACATACCTACCCTTGGGCACATCCACAAGCAGGTCCTTCTGCCCAAACCAACCCCACAACCTCTTCTCACTAGCACTCTACCTCACTTCTTCAGCTTGGCTTTGACCTAGAGCTGGCCAAGGAGTGGCTGACTCTGGTCCAGTTTTATTTTCATTACAGCAGATCTTCTTTACCCAACAAATGGAGTTGAAATGTTGTAAGGAAGGAAATAAGGCAGTGGCCAGCTCCGTGTTCTATTAGCCTTAAACACATCTTTTAGGATTATCAGGAACATTAATGGATATGCATATTGGAAATGTTCCAGTCTATGACATGAATTACTGTCTAAATTGGTTCTTTCTGAAACTGGAAATTCCTTGTTAGAAGTTGACTTAGAGCCAAGTAATCCTAAAAGAAAGTCCTACAGTAAATCAGACCTACTGTCACATGCATGACATCTCAGATGATATTGTTTAGAGAACGGAGGAAATTGCTTTCATTTGGTCATTTAATTTGCGGAGGCCATCACATTCATAATCATATTCTTGACCTCCTAAGCATGTCTGCCAACTCCACACAGGGTCCATTTCAGGTTGTTTACCTTCTCTTTAATGACTTAACAGAAAAAAACTGCATGATGAAATATATTTTCTCCAAATATATATATATTTATATAATATATAATCTTAGTTAACTCAAAGGTATATACATTGTATAATAAATAATATTTATAAAAAGAGACTTTTTGAATATAAAATCAAAAAGATCAACAACTTCTACAACTTTTTACAAAACTTTGGATACAGCAGATTGGTAGGAAATTTCCATTGGTTACTATCACCTGACTACAGCGAGAATAATTACAATGCACTCATGTACTATTATTAAATAATTACTTGTCAGCTACTTGAATACGCCCCAGAAACATGACTTTAATATAGAATACATAGATATGAAAAGACTTATAAAATTTGTATCCATTCTGATGAAATATTCTCACATAAAGTAAGCATTATCCAGTTGACATGATTGAAAACTTTTCAGTCTAAGATAAGATGGGAGGGGAGACACTTTGGACCCAATGCTAGGGGTTGGGCGTATACCTTTCGCCCAACCTTTCCGGCTTCTGGCCGGAGGTTTTGAGAGTGAAGGCAGGTTCCCAGATCACTGGCTTGCCAGCACAAGCTAAGAGATGACCAGCCTGGTATCTTAGATCAGTTTTAGGTAGACCCCCAAAACATAAGGGGGGTGGGGGAGAAATCTTGTTCCTGTTGCATCTCCTCCAAGTCTCAACACAGAATTATTGGGCTGATCTGTGCCATCTGCCCCCATCTGACTGGCTCCCATAGGCTGCCACCCCCTCCTCCAGGAACAGGGTGCCTCCACGGCTGGGCTGAGAGCTACTTTAACCCAGGACCATGTGACTGCATGCCTACTTTGATCACTTAATCCAGTCCTAGAGAGCTGCAAGGAGCAAGGCTATCTCAAATGCAGGTGAGGAGGAAAAGCCATGTTTTAAAAAAAAAAAAATGTGCCTGTCTGTTCCTTCCCCCAAGTCACAGGGGGGATTCAGGAAGACCAGTCCTCATTGGAGCAGAAACTGAACTAATTTTCACACAGACTCTCAGCAATGGGTTGCTACTCATCCGCTTGCTCTGTTTAATTTATACTAAGGTGATCCACCTGGAGTCCAACTGCCCTACCTGGAATTGTTTCTATGGAGAATCTGCAGGTGCACAGGGCTGGGAAGGATACAGTCACCCCTTCCAAAGCCACCACTTTGTTTTGTAGCAGCCATTGGCGTGAGGGAAGACTGGCCCCAAACCTATTTACAACGTCCACCCCACACACACACACACACACACACACACACACACACACACACACACACAACTACTGCAGTAATGGGATAGAAAAGGATTTTGAGATCTGATTTGCCTCATGCAGAACAGGGTTATAAAGAAAATGAGACGGAGAACTCAGCTGCTCTTCAAACAATTTCCCAGGCCACCCAGAGCTCCTAGTTCTTCAAAACTCAAAATCTTCCACCCCCTGGGACCTCCCCATCACTTCATCCCAGCTATACCTATGGCTTTTGTCAGAATGGGAACATGTATCCGATCTGGACGGGAAGGAGATGGGGGAGAAAAGGAAACTGAAGGACTTTGTCCTACTTCACAGGCATCTTGGAATGTTGTGGGCAGAAGTAGCTTGGAGACAGACTCTTGCCCATGCTTATATCTTTACAGCCAGGCCAAAGAGCTCACATTAGCCCAGCCTGTTCTGTTGGAGTAGAATTTTTTTTGTGTTTTTTCATTTTTATTTTCTTTAACATGTGCAAAGGTAAGCTTTGGGTCTGTTCCCACCAGACCCTGGAGAACTAAAAAGAAAACCCCTCTGTAAAAAGCCACACACCATCTAGAGCAGGGTGAGAAACATAAGATGAGAGGAGGAGCGCCGCCTGTTGGAGGATGGTGGGGTCCAGGTCATTTACCACGTGCAGCAGCTGGCAACAGTCTGAGCTCCTTGCTGGCCAGTGCAGAGGGCTGGCCCGGATCTAGGTCCTGCTTCCCATGGGACTTCAGTGACTCTGCCCAACTGCACACTTTACCCCTTCCCAGTGCCCTTTGGGAAAACAAACAGGAAAAAGAATATCAGAAATGGAATTCCTCTTGCAGAGGGAATTACCCATTTTGGGTACGAAGATCAGAGGTTGCCACAGATCTCACCGCCTTCTCTTGTACTTAGGAGCCATGGGGACTGGATGGCTTCACATTATCTCCTAACTTAAGAATGTGATCTATAGGAAGAAAGGGGCCTAGATCCACAAAAATCCCTCCTCCCCACTTCTAGCTGAAGGCCTCAGGCAGCAGGAGTTCTGTGGTAAGTAACTACCCAAATATAGGAATTCACTGTGTACATACAGGAAAAAACCTGCCAGCCAGTGGCTGGTCCACAGCCCTGTGTAGATTCCTGTGTAAGGGCATCTAGGTAACTAATGAATCATTCCTTCCTTGGGGAGACCTACTGGGTATGTTTTCTCATCTATTCAGTCCTATCTCACTGGATTTCAGACACAAGGCCACCTCAAAGGCATCCCTAGCTCCGACTGCTAACAGACCAGTATAAAACCCTTACAGAGACCAAAATAGGCACAGCAAGATCACCAGAAACACCCAAGGTCCCACCTCCCACAAGGAAGTTAGTGAGAGACCCAGGACTTTGAGTCAGCCAGGCCATGTGACTTGTCCAGGGCTTTTCTAGCACAGGAATGCGTAGGAATAACTCTGGTACTTGGAAAGTACGAGCATTCAGGTACCAAATCAGTGGCTAACTAGAGACAGCAGCGAAACCACGAGTGATGGAGCAGGTGTTTGCCACAGATAGGAAGGACCTATCCTGGACAAAGCTATTGTGATAGGGTTTCTCTAGAGGGTGTGGAGGGTATATGCCCTACTTGCAGCAACTTTCTCTGTTTGCACTGGCAGAGACCCACAAGAGACCCAAGAGAAAAGCCAGAGGCCCTGTCTCCTGCATCTCTGCCAGTTCATCTCTCAAGGTTCCCTTCGGCAAAGTAGCCATGTGGATGAAAGGACAGAACTGACTAGGTCTCAGCTAATCTTGGGTCCATAGCTCCAGGAAAATGGATCTTAGTCCCACTGTCCCTGGAAATCTTGACTCACAGGTGCATGAGCCACTGGATCATGGACCAGGTTCTTTATGAGTGGTGTCTAGTCCATGGGATGGCCCTCCTTTCCTTCACTTCACAAAGGAGGAAACCAGGGCTTGGAGCAGCAAAGAGCTTGCCAGATTCACTCAGTAAGTTGAGTATTTATGAGAAAGGCAGAACACTGGGAAATGGACTTTATGGTTGCTACAGAGGGTGGACTCCAGAGCTCCTATAGAGGAGGGCTTAAGGCTATGAACTTGAGACCACATCTGTATAGCACTATTATATAACACTGGAAAAACACCAATTGTCTGTTTCAAAAATGCAGAGAAAAGAGGATTGCTTCTTTTTTCCCTTTTTCTTTCTGTAGTGCTGGGGATTAAACCTAAGGTTTTGTACATATCAGCAAGCCATGCCCTTAATTCCTCCTCTGTAGGACACAGAGAGCCAACCCAACATGTCCTTCCCCACCAGGCAGACCTCAGCTGGCCATGGGGTAGGAACAGCCATAGAGTGTGTGTCTGTGCATAGCTGGTACCTGGTACCACTGATGGGTATGGGCTACAATTCCTGTGGTCTCTAGGAGGCCGAGTTGCTTCTATCACTAACCCAGTATGGCCATTTGCAAAGTGGACAGGATGAACAAATGGACTCCGTGGCCCCACCAATAGTAATATTCTAAACTGTACACTCCCATAGCCACTTCTCAGATTGGCCAGATCTACGTCTCCCTTGATGCTGGGGACATCCAGTTGCCTCTGGCCTTAGTGAACATCAGAGGAAGGTGGTCACTCCAGTTGTCAAACTTTTTGAGGTAATCTAAGGAATTCTATTTGCTGTCTCCTGCCTTTTGAAAAGCAGTAAATGAAGCTGAGAGAGTAGTATGTCTCTTTGCAGTGCCCACTCTATGCTTTGACTCTGTGGGGCCCCTCACACTTCCTATTAGTGCTGTATTTAGCGAAATATTTGCCTGTATTTGCTCACTCAAGCCTCTGCTAACTCCAGCCTCAGGAGAAAAAAAATTACCACACAGAGGGAAATGTACTCTTTACCTCACTTATGTAACTCCTCTGTACATCACCTTTATCATAACAATTTAAAAGTTACTTAAAAAAAAAAAAAAACTATTGCACAACAAGGCACCAATGGCTCATGCCTGTAATCCTAGCTACTTTGGAGAGTGAGATCTGAGGATCATGGTTCAAAGTCAGCCCAGGCAGTAACGTCATGAGACTCTTATCTCCAATAAACTCCCCCAAAAAGCTGGAAGTAGTGCTGTGGCTCATGTGGTAAAGTACTAGCCTTGAGCAAAAGAAGCTCAGGGACAGTGCCCAGGCCCAGGACTGGCAACAAACAAAACAAAACACCCTACTGCAGAGATGAGGAAATCTGGGAGTCTAAGTCTCAACAGCTGGCAAGGGATGGCGCTGCGCTGCCTCTGTCCTCTTCCCTGCCCCAGACTGCTTCATCCTGACATGGATGAAGGTCATGGCTTCCTGCCAGGACATAATATGAGCTTTGCCAGAGGCTTCCGAGACAGGCTGTGAAAGGGGTCATCCCTCAGCAAGAGCTACTCCCAGCCTCACACAGTGGAGAACAGGTGTTCTCCCCCAATCCTTTCCCAAATGTTCTTTCACACGCACCTCCTAGCACCCACCTCTGGGGAGGGTGATAGGTGAGGAAGAAGAAGAGGATCTATGAAGAGCACCTGGTCTCAGTCACACAGGACCAGGACTGGACCTAATTCCCAAGCCCACATTCATGCTTCTGCCAACTAGTCCCCTTTCTCAGGGAAGAGGAGGGAAAAAGAACCATGGCCTGAGGTTCCCCAGCCCATCTATGTCTAGGTCAATCTATCCTTGGGTCCAATGGACTAGAACACAGTGGCTCCCATGCAGGCCACCTCTGGGAAGCTTGGGAGTGTAATGATGCAGCCTTTGATCCCTTGATTACTCATTGCCGTGACTCTGAACTTGAATCCTTCCTCCTCCCCATCACCATCCATAAACTCGGTGAGAGTGTCCCACTCCACCCAAACCTCAGATCTGTCAGGATACTGGCTTACCCACCGCTTCCCCCACCCACCTCCCTGAGATTCAAGGATTTATGTTTGTGCCTTCTGAGTTCAAGGTAGACGCAAAATGACTTTGCCCCTGGGGTAAAACAAAAACTCTTCTGCCCCTTACAACAGATATTTTAACCCCCTTAATTGACTGAGAAAACTGAGACCCCAGAAGTAGAAGAATAAGAAGTAGCCAGGTGCCAGTGGCTCACACCTGTAATCCTAGCTACCCAGGAGGCTGACATCTGAGAATCATTGTTGGAAGCCAGTCTGGACAGGAAAGTCCAGGAGATCCTTGTCTCCACTTAACCACCAAAAAGCCAGAAGCGGGGATGTGACAAGTGGTAGAATGCTAGCTTTGAGCAAAAAGGCTTAGGGACAGAGTATAGCCCCAGTAGTGGCGGCCAGGGGCCATGCAAAAATCTGATCTGGCTCATGATATACTAGTGGGTTAAGAATTTTCATGAACTGCCATGGCTAATGTGCACTTAGCTGGTTACTATCTGTGCTTGTACTGTAATCCACCAAGCTGCTGCCTCAAGAACTAGTCCCATTGAAGCTTGGGAAACCCTGGCTTCCTTTTGGCTGGGGCGACTTTTGTGGCTTGGATAGCTTAGAAATAGGGTGGGTGGGTCCAGAAGAGATGGGCAGCACGTTCCTGCTCCCACCCGGCCCTACCTGGCTCCCTACTTGCAGGTGTGCACGTCATAGATGCGGATGCATTCCTGGCAGCTGACGTAGCAGCACCAGTGGAAGATGCAGTGGCACTTCTCTTTGCGCTTCTCCGTCCTCGTGTTGTGGCCTCGGCCACAGCAGAGCAGATCGCAGCCATCGATACCATGGGAGGTGACATTGCAAGTCCGGTCCCTGGTGCCAAAGGAGCCCGTCTCTGGGTTGGGCTCACAGAAGTTGGGAGAATTTTCATAGTAGACTAAGTCCCGCTCAGTGGGTGGCTTGAAGAGAGCATACTTGGCCCGGAGAGTCTCCACCCAGCCTCTAGACTCCCGGTGCTTCTCCACCACCATCTCTGAGGCACTGTCGTACTTGTCCTTGAGGAAGTCACCGATGGCACGGAAGTCAGGCTGCGCCCACCAGCAGGTCTTCACCTCACAGCTGCCCGAAAGCCCATGGCACTTACACTTCAGGTGCATGTGGTCCAGGATGGTCTGGAGAAAGGAGCAAAAGCTGGCTGAGCCCGGCTGGGATCACCTCCCTGCTCTTCCCCACTCCCTCTCACCTCTCCATCCTTTTGCACCCCAACTCTGCCTCAGGAAGAGAATGGACAGCGACTCAGGGAAGGATCTAAAGAATGGGTGACCCTTACTGGGCGCTGGTGCTCACCCCTATAATCCTAACTCCTCAGGAGGCTGAGATCTGAGGATCATGGTACAAAGCCAATCCAGGCAGGAAAGCCCATGAGCCTCTTACCTCCAATTAATCAAAGAAAAGGCTGGAAGTGGCATTGTGGCTCAAGTGGTAGTGCTAGCCTTGAGTAATAGGCGCCCACAGATTGTGCCCAGGTCCAGAGTTTGAGACCCAGGACTGGTAAAACATCAACAACAACAACAAAAACAAAAAAACAAAAAACAAAAACCACAGTAACCCATTTCCCACCTCAAAAATTTCTAGCAGTGGCAGACATCATGTTCATTTTTCCAAGTGGTAGGAAATAGGACTGTAATCCCCCATTTCACAGATGGGGAACATTAAGGCTGGGAGTTTAAGTAATTAGGTATGGTCCCACGATCATTGGAAAGAGTGGAGGCTCGGGGGACTTTACGGTTCTGTACCTACACAGCCAAAGCACACACAGGGTGGGCTGGGGGTACTGGGCCCGTCCCCCACTACACTCCTAGGCAGACCAAGAATAATCGCTCAAGGCTGAAGCAGGTTGGACAGAGGAGGGACTGTGAAGTGTGGGTGGGAGCCAAGCCTGACCCAGGGAAAAAGGAGTCCCAGATCCACAGGTCTTCCCAAGGGGGCAAAGAAGGGTCCAGGATGGGCTCCTAGGAGGGTTGGGAGAGGCCCAGCTCACCGTGCGGCCTGCCTCGTTGTTGTGCTTGTTCATGGCGGAACGTGCATCTGGTCTGTTTTCACGCGCATCTGCAAATTCCCTGGACACCAGCACCCCGAAGTCGGCGTCCTCACTGCAGCCACCCCACTTCCAGCCCTCACCGGGGGGCCCCTTGTGATGGGAGTCGCAGCCGCAGATGGTGGAGGTCCCCTCCGCGCAGGAGCGGGTGACAGCGAAGGCCACGCCAGCCGAGGCGATGGCGTGCACGAAGGCCGACTCTCGGGTGGCTGTGGGGAGGATGTGGGGAGACAGCGCTCACACCAGGGGCCTAGGACACCCCAATCCTGCCTCTACCTCCCCAGCCAGGAGGAGGAGAGGAGGGAAAAGACCAAGAGCCCACCTCCCGGAGGAGGGGGGGAGGAGCCAGGAGCCCTCCCCTCTCTGTCTCTGGCTGATCCAGATCCTGGCCCATATCCGCATTTTAAAGATGAGCAAATTGAAGTCCATCGTCCCCCCACCCCACACCCTGTCCCAGGCTGCCATGGGGCAGCACAGGAGTAGGGGTGACTGCAGGCTCCTGAAGAGCTAAGGCAAGCACTTCCCAGGGGGTCGTAGGAATCTGCAGAGGTAACCCTTCTAATCCATCCATTCCAACCCTGGATAGACCCCTTCCTCTTCTGAGCCTCTGTGAATGGGGTACATTTGCTCTTTGCCACTGGTGCTTCATGCCAGGAAAGAAAGGGCTGAGTTCCAGTCTCTGTGTCCCCTTTTCTGTGGCCCTCTTGGTCCAAAGCCCAGGCTTTGTACTGAGGCCTAGCTTTGCCCACAAAGGGCCCGGATGCATGCTCTCCCCACTGCGTAGAAGATGGAGAGATTCTGGCGAGTCTCAAACCTCATTAAGGAGGGGCAACTGTGAATGCAAGGTGACCACCAGAGAGACCCAGTGTCTGTGCTTTATTCCAAATGGCCTTCAAAACTCCGGTAGACAAAGGCGCCATGTCAATGTGCATCTGATCATATAAAGTAATGTTTATCGAAATGAACTCCAGGAAATGGAAACAAGAGGTTGTCAATTTCCTTTTTGTCTTGTTTGTTGGTTTATCTGCCTTTGGGAGGGTCAGGGAGGGGCACAGACATGGAGGGACAAAGGATGATCCAATGCAGCAGTGGTGCTCACTGGACACTACGTTGAAAATGAACTATTCTGTACAACCGGTGGGTGGGGATGGGAGGGGGAAACTGGGAGAGAGAAGGAAGGGGATGACCCTGTCTAAAAAGAAATGCACCCATTACATAACTGCAACCTCTCGGTACCTCACCTTTACAATAACAAAGGCAAAGAAAAGAAGGAAAAGCCTTCAGCCCACCCATCTCTCCTCAGACTTGAGCACCCCAGAGAGGGAAGGGGACGTGCAACTTTGCACAGGTGGCCACTCAGGAAAGACCTGACAGCCAGGACGCCCCCGACCGCCCCCCCTCCCCCCGGGCTGTGGCTCCCGGGTCCTGGGCCTTAAGGGAAGGAATAGAAGGCTGCTCGCACAGCCATGGCGGGTCTCTTTGAGGCCACCTGCACGGCAGGGTCCATCCCTGGGCTGGTGGGGAGCAGGGCCTGGTGCACCATGGTGGGGGCGGGGGGGAACAGGGCCTGGTGCACCATGGTGCGGGGGGGGGGGGGGGGGGGGGGAGCAGGGCCTGGTGCACCATGGTGCGGGGGGCGGGGGGGGGGGCAGGGCCTGGTGCACCATGGTGGGGGGAGCAGGGTGGGTCTCCTGGTCGCAGGTCCTGGCTGTCAGCGCTGTGGCCCGGGGTAGGGAGGGAGCCCGAGCTCGCGGGCGGGCTTCTGGCTTCCGGCGGCCGCGCTCACTCGGTTCCCAGCACCGGGGGCGGCGGGGGTGGCGGGGGCGGCGGGGGCGACGGGGGCGGCGGGGGCGGGGATTAGCCTGGGAGCGGCGCTCCCAGCCCCGCTGTGCCGGTCCCCGTCCGGCGGGGCCCGCTGGGCCGCTCAATCCGCCTTTGTTCCCGCGGTGTCACACCGCATTACCCGCATAATGCGGCCGCCGGGCCCGGGCCGCCAGGCCGGCCGCCACCGCGTAGCAACGGGCGGCTCCCGCGGCCGGGCCGCGCCCCCAGCCCCGGCGCCGGGCCGCGCTCCCCCACTGCGCCGCCGGCCCCCGCCCCACGCCGCGCCGGGCGGCAGAGGGCGTGTGAATGGCGCGGGGCGCAGCGGGCGCGCGGCGGGGGGCGGCGCTCGCGTCCTGTGCCAGCCGTGGGGGAACCAAAGGGGGACCCGGGCTCGGCTCGCCCCTGCCAGCCAGCCAGCCACCCACCCGCGCCCTCCCGGAAGTGCTCCGCCCGAGGGCGCTGTCCCGGGCCCGGTGTGTCTCGGTGCCACTCCCCGCTGCCCAGCCGGGGCGCACCGCGGGGGAGGAGGGCGTCCACCGAGCCGGACGCGCGCGGGCTGGCCCGGGGGCAGGGTGCAGACGTGGGCCGGCCGCGAGTTCGGCTCTAGATTCCCCCGCCAGCGAGCGGGTGCCCTTCCAGGACCCTCATCCCCACCGCTGGGTCTCGGACCCACACTTCCGGCCACCTCCTAAGACAAATCTTCCTCTGCAATTTAGGGGCAAGGGCCTGCGGCAAAGCTTAACGGCCTTGGGGGCGGGTGACAAGCGGTCCGTGGGTCGCAGGGCGGCAGGGGCGCCGGTGGAGACGCCAGGCCCTTTGGTTAAGCGCTACCTGGCTGGAGGTGGGGCTCCGGAAGGCGGTGAGACCGACTCTCGGCTGGATCCGGGATGGGATGCAATGCCAGCCCTTGCCACTTGGCCCCAATTAGGGGCCAAACCTTTTATGTAAACAAGGAATAATTAGCTTTGGTAATGGAAGCGTAAACAGAATCGTCATCCATTGATTTGCTAATTGCCCATGCCTCCCTTGACAATTGGCAGCAAAAGTGGGTCTAACGACCCTAAGCTCCCCAGAGGCCTTACAGGTAAAGGCAGGTTGTCAGCACTCAAAAGAGTTAGGGGGCTGGGAATGTGGCTTAGCGGTAGAATGCTTGCCCTGGGTTCGATTCCTCAGTACCACATAAGCAGAAAAAGCCAGAAGTGGCACTGTGGCTCAAGTGGGAGAGTGCTAGCCTTGAGCAAAAGAAGCTCAGGGACAGTGCCCAGGCCCTGAGTTCAAGCCCCAGGACTGGCAAAAAAAAAAAAAAAAAAATTAAACCGCTCCCAAGTCCTTGCTGCTTGATTGCTTCTCCAATCCTTTCCTTTCTGACAATAAACAGCCCACTCCAATCACTTCTAAAAGGAGGGAGGGGTCAAGCTCCCTGACTTGGATGGCAGAAACCTCGGTGGATCATCCCAGCAAGGGCCACTAAATTCCTGGATACTAAATACCTATTCCCGGAAGAGCTATTCATCCTCTCCCAGAACCCATGCGTTTCAAAATCTTTTGGGGGAGCAAATGTCTTACTCATTCCTGCCCTCTCCACCCCGTGCTCAAAGTCAAACTGTGCAAGATGGTTGGAAGTTGCCCAGGGGCCAGTGTGCCCTACTGATGGATGCACATGACTGCCTTATGGGCATGAGACACACAGGAACACGCTGGGTTTCCTGGGGGGGGGGGGAGGGCAGAACTGCCACCAGCACCTTGCAGTGTCTAGAGCTCCAGGGGTACCCCCCACACACACATTTACATAGCACTTAACACAGCTTTGGGGATCCATCACAAATATCCACTTCAAAAGCACAGATCTCATTGAAGGAGGGTTAGTGGGCTCCTTAGTGCTTGGGCTCAAATCCCAGGACCCCCAAATACCTCTAGGCTTCCCAGCCCCCAGCAGCACAGGGACCTTGTGTGTCTTATAGATCACCTGGTCTGACTCAAGAGGGACTGAGGGCCTGCTTCCCAGGGAGGCTACTAGTCATCACCCTCCTCAGGGTGCCCTGGGTTGAAAGGATCCCCATGCCCTCCCATCACCCTGCTCCTCAGCCCGTTCCCACCCCCTTCAGCATAGGCAGTACCTTTGTCCAGGACAGGCCCAAAGATGGCCAGGCTGTCATCAATGGTGGTGCAGTTCCAGCGGCGCCCTCGGAACTGGTGCTGGCACTCCTGGATGCCCAGCTTCACACCCTCAGCCACACTGGGCATGATCTCAATGTAGTTGCGGCAGAAGCGAAGTTGCTTGGGGACCAGGCCTGGGATGGAACCGCAGAGCAGGGGCTGTGAGCCCAGAGATGTGTACTGCTGGCCCAGGGCCAGGGACCTGCAGGCAGACAGAAGGAGATGGCACCAGGAGCGCCAAGCACAGAGCCCAGCACTTCTTCATGAGCAGGTGAGGAATGGGAGGGATGGTGGGTCTGATCCATGGCTCTGGGAAGCCTAAGTGGGTTACCTTTGACTTCCTGGGGAGCACAATGAACTCTGATGCCTCCTAACATGAACTCATTTAGCTTGCAAGGGAAGGGAACCTTCAGGGACAATTTGATGCAATGAAACGGACCTTGGACCACAAAGATGAAATTTGAGGCCCAAATCAAGTCCTTTCCAGGCTTTGAGCCCAGTAGGCTCTAGCCAGTCAACTTCCAAGAGAGACCAAGATTCAAACGCCATAGGGAGACTTTTGGCAATTCATACGAAGGAACTCAAACCTAAATGTATGATGGCAACAGAGGCTACTTTGACCTCAGCTTCCTTGGAGAAAAAGCAGAGAAGCACCAATCCCAGCAAGGAACTTGTACACCTGTGGGGGTATGTTCACCCATACACATGACACACACATGTTCATACATATAACACATGGCCGACACCACCGTGCAACTGTCCCCCAGTCCCTTTCCTCAAATGGTGCAAGCTTAAGTCAAGAGGTTTCCTGAGTCTCTCTAGGGAGTTCATGCTATCAGGTGCTTCTATGTGCAGAACTTTCTAGAATGCCACCTCTCCTCTCACCAGAGATTAGAGCTAGGCTTTAGCAACATTGCTATCCCATTTCATAGATGAGGAAAATGAGGCCAGGAAACAAGTAACCTGCCTGGATTTACAGGGCTGCAAATCACCCAAGTTGAATCACCATGTCCAGCCACCCTGCCAGCCGCCCACAGCCCTGCCATCACCAGTGGAGACCACTGGGAATGGCACCATCCAATAAACACAAGGCCCTGAGTTGCATCATCTCCCTTCCCTCCAAACCCTGCTTCCTTCCTACTGCCCAGTCTCATCACTTCTACACTCAGGGGTCAGGGCCCCAGCCCCAGCCCCAGCTCACATCTGCCATTTCTAAGCCACTGAGTTGAACACTTTCCTTCACTTCGCCATACCTCAGTTTCCTCATCAGGAATACACTGGTGAGAGGTGTGAAGAGTAGAACCTTGTGCCTGGCACATAGGAGGTCCTCAAGGAATGGTTATCACTTCCAATACCATGTGGTTAGGTAGGGCTGTCTCCAGCATTCTGTCCCTGCCTTGTCACCAAACTTCAGTCCCTGTTCTCACATCTCCACCTTGGTAGGAAAGAATTGTCAAAGCCTCTCCTTTGCAAAACCAGTAAGGATGTGCCAGCTAAAGTCCAGGTCTTTTTCCTGGAAGCTTTGTCCCAACAGACAGGCTTAATGAAGCCATCTGGGATCTGGCTGGCTGTGTGAGGTAACAGAAAGGCCAAGGGCACAAGGACATTGCCAGGATGTTCCCCTCAAAGGTTTCAGCTCCAATCTGGACATCCTGCCAGTCATCAACAAAGGCTCTGGGGCATGAGAACGAGGAGCTCAGTGTGGTGGGCTGGTGTTGGGGCTACTGAGGCTGTGGCTATGGCAGGCAGGATTTCCCCCCATACACCAGGTGTCCCTGACCTGAGCTCCTACCCACACAAACAGCCATATCTGACACAAATTTAACCCCCATCTCTTGTCCCCATTATTGAAGCTCCCCCTTTCCTGGGAGAGGCAGCACTGAAGTGTGACTGTCCCTGGGATTCGATTTTCTTCGACCCGGTTGTGTCACACCTCTGGGCACTTATTTGCACATGCTGCGCACCTCAGAGCCAGATTCCTGGGGTCCTTCTACCCTGAAGACTTCCACGAGTTCTAAGCTTGAAGTAGCTCCTCCCTCTGTGATTCTCTGCGTTGATTTACCTCAGCTTGTCAAAGTGCTCCACAGATTCTCTCCGTTACTGCCTGGCTGGATGTGCAAAGGCCCCACAGGTAGGAGTATGTGTTGTTCCCATGCTACACACACACACACACACACACACACACACACACACACACACACACACACCCCAGGACACTTAACCTTGGCCTTCCACAGGGCCAGGTGCATGGCAAGTACTTGCTTGTGCTCCAGGTAAGGCATAAAGAAACATTCTTCCAAAGAGCCAGTCCGATGCCCTGTGCTCCTCAGGCTTCAGGCCTCCGGAGGTTCCACCTCCACACAGGACAAGACTCCTTGGTTCCGCTGAGGAAGTTACTCTGATTAGGAGCTGAGCTGAAGCCAGGCTCCCAAGGGAGATAGGGGCCCACCTGGCACTGGCAGCTGTTGAGGGGGAGGCCAGAAGGTCCTGCCAGGCCTTCCCAGCTGACCAGAGGCTAATTATACTCTGTTCCTGCTCCTGCTTTGCCCTGCCCAAGTCCCTGCCATCTTCTCCTTGGGGAACAGTTCATCCTCAACCCCAATGGCCCACCACCTCTCTAGACCCAAGATAGACCCAGGCAGTCAGGTGCTAGAAAACCACAGGCTGCTCAAGAGTCCTTCAAAGAGGCTGGACTGAAAACACTACTAAAGCTCTAGCACTCCACTCTTCCCAGTTCGTAGTCCCTATTCCTGACACCACCAGTGGCCAGAGCCCAGGGTAGAGCAACACACACACTTACTTATCTATTTATATTGCAGTTCTGGGATTGAACCCAAGGTTTTGTTGTGGTTTTTTTTTCTTTCTTTCTTTTTTTGTTCGTCATGGGGCTTGAACTCTGGGCCTGGGCGCTGTCCCTGGGCTCTTCAGCTCAAGGCTAGCACTCTACCACTTAAGCCACAGCGCCACTTCCAGCTTTTTCTGTTTATGTGGTGCTGAGGAATCAAACCCAGGGCCTCATGTATGCAAGGCAAGCACTCTACCACTGAGCCACCTTCCCAGGCCCTGTACCCAAGTTTTTGCACCTCTTAGAGCTGCACCTCTAAGTCCTTGGTTTTTGAGACAACCTAGGCTGTCCAGGCTGCCCTCCAACTTTAAATCCTCTTTTCTCAGTCTTCAGAGGGCTGGGATTATAGTCATACACCACCACACCAGGAAAGTCTAGATTCTGAATTAATTTTCCCAATTGACATTGAGTGACCCACACCTGCCTAGTTGATCCACTCCAAACCCCTGCAGTTGTAGGCTAGGGACCCATAGCAAGTCCCCACTCAGGGTAGCTAGCCATGTGTGGCAGGGATTCTGCCATATCATACGGCACCCAACCAACCACGGGCCAGGCACCCACACCCGGGGTGTTTTTGCTTTATGTTTTTAGCTTAGGACCTCCTAATATGGATCTTAGAAGCTGGAGGGGACTCACAAGTATTGTTTGTTAGATTTTTTTTTGAGTGCTGGTATTGTGTGTTTGTTTGTTTGTTTTGTTTTGTGCCAGTTCTGGGGCTTGAACCTAGGTGGTGTCCCTGAGTTTTTCTGCTCAAGGCTAGTTTGCTAGCACTTGAGCTACAGCTTCTCTTCCTGCTTTTTTGGTGATTAATTGGAAATAAGAACCTTATGGGCTTTACTGCCCAACTAGCTTTGAGCCACAATTCTCAGATCTCAGCCTCCTTTGCTGATTATAGGCGTGAGCCACTAGCACCCAGCTTCTTAGGTATATTTTCCAAATGCCCTCATATATAATCTCCTTTCTGTCCCTCAATAAAAAACTGATTTAAAAAAAGAAGAGGACCCATTCTTCAAAAGATTAAAGACAGGGATGGCTCTTTGGTTCAAGCAGAACTCCTATCTAGCAAGAATGAAGCCCTGAGTTCAAACTCCAATACCATAAAACAAACAACAAAAGAAAAAACCAACTCTTAAACCCAGAATTAGCACAGGATCCAGGATAAACTTGCTCATGGTAGCACTACTCACTGTCATCAAAGCTAGAAACATCCCACCTTCATCAATAACAGATGCATATAATGGAATGGTCAACAACAATGAAAAGAAAACTAAATTCTAACACTTTACAATATGGATAAGCCTTGAAAACATTATGCTACGTGGAATAAGCTAGACATTGAAGTAAAAATATCATATGGTTCTATTAATGTGAAATATCTAGAACAGGCAAATGCATAGAGACAGAAATAGAGTTGAGGTGAGTAGGGGTTGTGGAGAGGGGAAGGATTTACAGTTTTTGTTTCAGGAAATAAATAATGGTCACGATTGCATGATGTTGGAGTATACGTATTACCACTGAACTGCATGCTTTAAAACGGTTAGAATGAACTAGGCATGGTGGTGCACATCTGTAATTCTAGCTACCTGGGACTCAGAGACCGGAGGATCATGAGTTGGAAGCTAGTTAGCAAAAAATTTAAGACTGGGGGTGTGACTCAACAAATAGAACATCTGCGTGGCATGCTTAGACCCTGGGTTCAATTCCCAGTGCTAGAAAAACAGAAAGGTTGAAATGGCAAAAGGTGGAGGCGGGCAGAGCTAATATACTTGGATCCCCAACACTTGAGTTTCTCCTCAGCTCCCCCTGAGCTGGTCTGATCCAGCCCCTTTCTTCTCTGTATAGGAAGCTGGAAGCCTAAGCAGGGTTTGATCATTTTCCTAGTGACATAGGTGGCTGGAAGAGGGGCAGATGTCCCCCTTCTCTGACTCCTCACTGAGCGCTAGCCTGGGGAGGGTGCTGGGGAGGGCAATGAAGGTAGGTTCTCAGAAACTTCTGTTGGTCTGGACACAGAATGGATCTAAGAAGAACCCAGGGATGCAGGCTAGCAAAAGGCTCTGAGCTCCCCTTTTCTTTCTCTGGTCTGGGCTGAGTTTATGGCTAAGCCTTTCCAAGTGATGCTTTTGCTGGGGATCACGTGCTCCTTGTCTTCCTCATGAAAGAGGCCTAGCCATTCCTGCCAGTCCTAAAGAATGGATGCTGTAAGTTTCTCATCCAAGCAAGGACCTAATATCTCTTAAAACAATAAGTGTGGGTGCTGGGAGGGAGGCAGAGCCCCATTTTCATGGCCATTGGTTTTTCTCCTTGCAATGACCTTGCTGCCTGCATAAACCCCACAGGAGCCTCCTAGCATGAGGCGC